ATTGTTGACTTGTTATGCAATTGCTTGCCTAACACACAGTTTCCTGACATTGTGATTGGATGGGGGGACCTGCATATCGCATTAATGGGGAGGAAAATGTCTCTTTCAACACCATGCACAATATTAAGACACCTCTTACATTATACCCCTTCTTGCTCCCCCGCCCCATAACTAACCCTCCCCACAAAAAAGGTTACTGCCTTTCCTCAGAGGGAAGTTGCTCCAGCTCTGGATCTTTGCTAAACAACAATCCTTTCTGAAGTGAGGAGGCCAGAGCTGTGCACAATGTTCCATGCGCAGCCGCACCATAGATTTGAATAGCGGTGCTGTGATATTGGCGGTTTTATTTTTGATCCCTTTCCTAATGATTCCCAGTATGGAATTCTCCCTTTTTGCAGCTGCCTGCACGCTGTGCTGACCTGAATATGAAATAATTATCCATTGGGTTGCTGTCTATCAAACAGTCTCTCTTGCCCTATCCCCCAACCCTTTATTTGAGGTAATAAACTTCTGCTTGGCAACAACAAGGGGATGGTGTGTGTGTGTGTGGGGGGGTGATTTGAAAGCAGGCAAAGGCACTCTTTGGCGGTTGGACCATGACTGGGCATAATCAAACCATTGTACCCACCAAGAGAGAGACAGAGAGTGCCAAGGCAGGGCATAGAGGATCCCAGCAATTAAATGGGGGGGGGGGAGGCGGTGGCAAATGACATATTTAGACAGAGCGAAACAGAATTGACAAACAAGCAAAGATAATTGCAACTTGCAAACCTCCCGGACAAAATCCAGCAGTTCTGCAGGAAAACATATATTTGCAGGCTTCCCAGCTGTAAATTCAGCAATGGGGCAGGAGGGGCAGAGAGAAAAGAGAAGGCAAATGTGAGGACCAAGTAGGGCAGCTGAGAAAGGTTAGAAATGTGTTCTCTGGAAATGCACGGCTTTTACAGATAAAACAGGCGTCAGGTTATAAGGATGCAAACGAAATTCGAGAATCTGTGCACTGGGCTTCCCTTTCGCCATCGTTCTCAGGGTCATTCCTTCGGCAGGTAGAAGCCCTTCGAAGAGAAAGGCCAGGTATATGGTGCAAATATGTACCTGAACATCGGTCATGGATGCTTTAGTTGATATTTCTGCATTGCAGGTGGTTAGACTAGACTAGATGGCTCTTCCAACTCTACAGTTCTTGATTCAGCGTGTGGAGAGAGAGAATCTGGCTCCGGCAGGGATTTATTTCTTTTTAAAAAGTTTCATTTATATCGCCACCTTTTCTCCAAAGAGCTAATAGTGATGTATGTACTCCCCCCCCTCCTTTTTATCCTCACAACCACCTTGTGAGGTAGGGTAAACTGAGAAGTGGTGTCTGGGCCCCTTGGGTTTCATGACTGAATGGTGATTTGAACCTGGGTCTCTGGGTCCTCGTAGAGAGCTCTAACCACTAAGCCACACTGGATCTCACGAGGATACTCTGGTGGCATATAATAGGTCAGAATAAAATTAAGCAGGCCACAAAAAGTGCTCCACTAAAACAAATTTCTAAATAAAACGTTGAATTTATTTGAAAATAACATTTAAACTGCACTAAGTGCACTTTATTGATTCTTCCCCTGCTCCTTCCCGATAAAATATTTCAGTTCAGCTGTTTTTTTCCTGTTGGTGGTGGTGGTGGGGAATTCAGATATTTATGCAGCGCATGACATTAATATAAAATACTTTGTTGTTGTTAGTTTTGTTTACTGAGCAGAAGTCAAACAAACATGCCAGATCTGATCTCCCATTGATTTTAGGGCAGCAGAAATTTCCGCAGAACATTTCTCATGCTCAGAATGTGTTTTCCTGAATAACCACCGAAGCTTAGAGGGGGTAGGCAGTGCTGGAAATTCTCTGGGCTGGCCAGTTCTGGTGAAGGGGGCTCATAGTGGCTTCCATCTTCCGTGGGGGCTTCTGTTTTTCACAAAACAGCATAGCTTCTGCTCCCCCCTAAACCTCCCCCACCCCATATTTCAGATTTGTTTCCAGTGGTATATGAAAGTATGGGACGTTGCATTGCTTGAAAATTGTTCAAATTAAGAGTTCTTAGAGGCCAGACTAAAAAAGATATATGGTATGATTTTGGGATGTAAGGCTATAATGCAGGAACATGCACAGTCTCCATCTCCAGCCTCTAAGTGGATTTGGATGGTTTGAGTTCTGTCGGTTTCCATACACCCTTCTTAGCGTTTCCAGTTCCCTAGGCCCCAAAATGGGAAAAATGGGACAGAAAGTTCAAAAATTGATTCAGATGCTTGCCCGATGTACTTACCAGAGTAGATCACTCGTGCAAGATGTTTATTATGCACAGGCCCAGAAAGTCAACTTCAAGTTTTATTTCTTACAGTTAACTTTTGTTTTCTTTTTTTTATACAGTTGGTATTAAACTGTTTCTTACTTTCCTGTATGCTGAAAATCATTTTTTTTTTTTAAAGTTACTTGAAAACACAGTGTGGCTTCTGTTTCCCCCCATCAGCTCCCCCCCCCCCATATTCTCACATTCCGGATTTGTTCCCAATCTCTCACCACTTTCGACTTCAGCTTTCTGTTTCTGAAACACGCCCCTCCTCCTTCTCTGTGCTTTTTTTGCAGGTGTGCTGCAGAGTCTGACTTCTGGAGCATTGCACCTGCGTGACCTCCTGAGCCGTCAAGCGACTGAGAGGCTTATGAGGAGGTTCTGGCAGGCGAAACAGTGCCTAGCGAAGACACCCCGGAGGAGGGAGAAGGAGAAAGAGGAAGGGGAAGGGTACCAGAGCTGAAGCTTACTGTAGCCAGCCATGGTAGGTCCCCATGGCTGCAGGCGCTGGGGCAATGAGCAGGCAGGAAGGAGGCCGTGGGAAGGCTTCCTCCCTCTCTCCCTCTCCCTTCCTGGCCTGCTAGCAGACTTGCCAAAACAGCTTCCGGGGGAGAAGGAGGAGACGCTGCTGAGTTAAAAGGGAGGTGGTCTGGCACCACTCTCAAGCAGAGCAAAATGGTCTTTGATTTATGGCTGGGGCATCATCAAAACCCAGGGAGCACGGAGGCTGCAGTCTATGAATTATTGAGTGAAGGCATTGGGGGGGGGGGAGAACGCTCAAGAATAAAGTGACTCTTTTTTTTGCTGGAAGTGGCACCAGCTATCTTGCTTGAGAGAGTGGCGCAGGCGACCTTGAACTCTGCTGGGTTGTATAACCAAATGCTGATGCTCTCAGCTCAGGCCAGCCCTTTCCTTGCCCTTCCGCAAGGTGAAACCCCTGCTGTGGGCTTGGGATGTGGGCTTTCAAACTCACCTGCCCAGTCACAGGGATTCCAGGGATGCTGCTTTTGGTCCCCACTCCTCCTTACCCCTTTTTGGTTGTAGAGCGCCGAGAGAGAGGAGAAAGGCAGCTGTGCCTTCCTGGACTTGAACTATTGCCATGTTCTGCCCTTTCTTTAAAATCTATTTTGGACCAATGGCTGACGAGCAGGAGGGGGTGTAGGGCTGGTGGGACACTCACAATTAATGAATTCCTGCTGGCCAACTGATGGGAGAGCATCCCAAGCCTATTGATTTCTTCTGTGGTCCTCCAAATGTTATTGCTAAGAGACAGAGTGGAAGGAAGGAAGGGGAAAGAACATGTTTCAGGTGCCAGTTCAGAAGCAAATGGGAGACAGAGTTTCAAGAGGATTTATTGCCTGCCAGTGCATCTGAGTCAGAAGCAGCCTGGAAATCCATGAGCCATAGGGCAATGGAGTGGAGGTTTTCATTGCTCTGGTGCCCTTCTGCTTCCCCTCTTCTCCTGTGGGTGGCGGAGGCAGGAGAGGGAGGGTAGCTGAGCGCCAGGAGGGGCACTGCTGAGAGGGGTCGCTTCCTCTTCCTCCTCCTCCAAATCTTGTGGGGATGAAGACAGATGAAGACTGAACAATTCTGGACTTGCATTTGCTTAAGGATATAAAGTCCTCCAGGATTGGGTCAGAGGCCTGTCTCAGGCTTTCCTAACCTGGTTCCTCCCAGATATGGTTGGATCAATCACATCCCATTATCTTTAACTATTGCCCATGCCAGCTGGGGCTGGTGGGAGCTGGGACTCTGACCAACAAAATCTGGAGGGCACTAGGTTGGGAAAGACTGGCCTGTGCAGCCCAGCATCCTGTTTCCAAGAGTGGTCAGCCAGATCCACGCAAGAAACATCAAACAGGACAAGGAGACAGTTGCACTCTCATGCTGCTGTTCCCCAGTATATGGCATTCAGACTGTCTCTGGACATTTGGTGATCATAACCAATTGCTGCTGGTAGACCACCAGCACCTCCTCTTCCTCCTCCAGTGCATTATTAAACTATGGCACTCACTCCCATGGGAGGCAGTGATGGCCACCCACTTGGATGGCTTTAAAAGAGAAGTGGACAAATCCATGGAGGAAGTGAGGGCTGTCAATGTTTGCTAGTCATTTACCTCCACAGTTGGAGGCACCTTCAGATCAGTGGTCAGACTTGGGATAAGGTAGCTCCCTACTGCTAGTTCTTAGGGAACATAAGAGGAGGTCCACTTTTTCAAGCCAATGGCCCATCTAGACCAGCATCCTGTTCCCACAGTGACTACTCAGATGCCCCTGTGGGGAACCCACAAGCAGGACCCAGGCACAAGAGCCCTCTCCCTTCCTGCATCTTCTTCCAGTCACTGGTGTTCAGAAGCATTGCTGTCCCTGGCTGTAGAGGCCTAGCCTAGCCAACATGGCCAGTAGACATTGGCTTTGGGATTCCGTTTGTTTCTTTCTTTTGGTTTTAAAGCAGACTCCACAGGTTTGAACAGGTGTTGTGCCTCCTTCTGATAGGTTTGTCTGCTGCCATTGGGGCAGAAGTGTGATGCTCTAAAATGCCCAGCAGGTTTGAGTCAGCCATCCCTTTTGCAAATAATACCCTCATCCTCTCGTTTCACAAAAGAAGAGCTGTTGACAAATTCTTTTGCCTCCTCCCACCTTCTTTCTCCCTGTTATTTCCTAACCCTCTCAACAGAGATCCATCCGATCGTTTGCAAACGATGACCGGCACGTGATGATGAAGCACTCAACCATTTACCCGTCTCCAGAAGAACTCGAAGCTGTCCAGAACATGGTTTCCACAGTGGAGTGCGCCCTCAAGCAGGTCTCCGATTGGATGGATGAAATGAGCAGGTCCAGCAGGGCCGAGGGCAGCATGGACAGCAAGGAGGAGCCTTCAGACGTGGGCAGCGGCAAGTGAGTGGCTTAAAATGGGCTCCCTAAAAGGGCTAAGGTTTATTGAAGCCCCATTCTTCAATCTGCTTTATGTTCAGAAAATAACTCAAGTGGCGTAAATAAAAATATGGAAACATGCAGTAAGATACAGTGGTGCCTCGCAAGACGAAAGGAATCCGTTCCGCGATTCTCTTCGTCTAGCGGTTTTTTCATCTTGGCGAAGCAACCCCATTAGCGGCTAAGCGGATTAGCGCTATTAGCGGCTTAGCGGCTATTAAAGGATTAGCGGCTAAGCTGCTAAAAGGCTATTAGCGGCTTAGAAAAGGCCCGCAAGAAAAACCCCCGCAAGACGTTTCGTCTTGCGAAGCATGCCCATAGGGAAAATCGTCTTGCGAAGCAACTCAGAAACGGAAAACCCTTTCGTCTAGCGGGTTTTCCGTCTTGCGAGGCATTCGTCTTGCGGGGCACCACTGTATAATCATATATATGTATAGTGTATTATATTGCATTATGTCATATCTAATGTATAATAGGTAATATAATATGTTATTACAGTTGGATCCCTCTTTCTGAATGCTCACATTGCGAAAATTCACTTATCTGAACATGAGGAATTGGTACTCAAAGCTCGTTATATACACTGCAGACTCCAGCTATCCGAACAGAGAACATTTTTCCCTTTCTTGCTTTCTTTTTGCTGGTTAGCTGAGGACCTGTACTGATCTGTACTTTAGTAAGACTTCAGGGAGTTTTCTGGGTTTTCCCAGTTGGTTTTTTGTTTTTTGGCTTGGGGTGTGTGTCAAAATTTGGGCATACATGATGGGGAGAGCACTTGTGTGTTTAAAGCTCTTGAGAGTTCCTTAACTATTAGAGCTGTAAAGTGTGTCGCTTGAGTTGAATCCAAAACTGCTGGTACTCCAAATCTAGGAATTATTTCATTTCAAGTAGTTTCTTGACTACTTCCTGAGCTGTACAGTTGTGGCATGGGAATGCCTAAACTCATCCAGTGAGCTGGTCCACAAACACCAATATATGTTTGTATCTGTTACTGGGTGGTAATTCTGCAAAGTCCACTGACAGTCTTTCCATTAGGTACTGGGCCCATGGGCGACCTCCTATTGGTGCGGGGGTACATCATAGCTATAGACTATAGAGTATGCCTCCATGAACAGCCCTCAAGCCACTATAGTCCTCGCCATCAGGTGAGCCTCACCTCCCATTTGGGCTTTGGATTGTAATTCTTTCAGTAAAAGTCTGAGAAGGGGTGTAGTCACCAAGAAACGACCATCTTGAAAAACCCACCAACCAACAATTCATCACCTTCATCCCTAGCCCACTCAATTTCTGTTTGTGAATATGCTGGTGGTTCTCTGGGAATAAGATAAAATAGAGCATATTGTGTGATAGCGGGCAAGCGAGCTGCCATCTTTGAGACTGCATCAGCTTTCTTATTCCCTTCTGTATTGGCACATTTCCCATGAAGAAGAGGAAGAGTTTGGATTTGATATCCTGCCTTTTCACTCCCTTAAGGAGTCTCAAAGCGGCTAACAGTCTCCTTTTCCCTTCCTCCCCCACAACCAAAGACTCTGTGAGGTGAGTGGGGCTGAGAGACTTCAGAGAAGTGTGACTGGCCCAAGGTCACCCAGCAGCTGCATGTGGAGGAGCGGAGACGCGAACCCGGTTCCCCAGATTACGAGACTACCGCTCTTAACCACTACACCACACTGGCTCCATGTGCTAATAGGAGCATTACTGCTATTTTTGCTGGCAAGAGCAGTTCCTCTAATAGAGCAATGATCTGCTCACCACGGGCTCCATGCTGCCCTGAGGCAGTTACAAAACCCCGCTCTTTCTATAAAAGTCAGTGGGCATGTACCACGTTATAAGCATACGTGCTATCTGTGTAAATGTCAGCCGGCTTTCCCTCTGCCAATTGAAGGTCCTTAGTGAGAGCTATTAGTTCTGCCATTTGTGCTGAGTATTGTGAGGAAATTCTTTCCTGGCGTAGAACCTCTTCCAGTGTGACCACTGCAAAGCCTGAATGTCTTTTGCCACCCAACATCCCATCAACAAACATCTCCATTTCAATGTTTTCCAATGGAAAATCCTGTAAATTGGGATGTATCGCTATCTTTTCATTCAAAGCCTGTACACAATCATGGGGTCCCGAGCTTCTGGTAGTTGGAAGAAGGGTGGCTGGGTTCAGTGTATTTACCCACCTAAACGTCACATTTGGGTTGGTAAGCAAGGCAACCTCATAGCGTGACTGCTGCCCTGGGTGCAACAGTTTCCCCCCCCCTCAGTTCCTAAGATCTGAGGGACTCCATGTGGGGCTCAAACCTCCATCTCATCGCCCAAAGTTATCTTGTTAGCCTCTTCTACTAGTAAGCTAGTAGCTGCCCCCACTCTCAAACATGCCAGCCAGACTTTTGCCACCAGGTCCAGATTCTTTGAATAATATCCCACCATCCTCCAGGCTGGGCTCCATCATCATATCAGGACCCCAGAGGCCACTGCTTTTGCTTCGTATACATTTAGTCTAAATCAGGCATGTCCAAAGTCTATTTCGGGGGTCTAATCCAGCCCACCAGTCGGTTGAATTTGGCCCCTGTGGCAGTTTATTTCCTGGGGTAAAATAAAAAAAAAAAAATAGGGGTTTGGAAGTGCCAGCACAGAGGGGACACAAGAGCCTGCTTCAAAGCAAGAATAACATTTTTCATTTCCTTATCTTTCGCTCCGTTTGTTCCTCTTGATTTCTGCGTCATACCTACCAACCTACTTCTACATTCTCATTTCTTTTTTTTTAAAAAACCAATAATTATTTTTATCAATTTCCCAAATTATTACAAATCAAACCAAATTACTTTAATTTAATACAATTTCTTAAAATTGGGTTTCCCACTCCCTTTGTATCATATGTCCAATATATTCCCCCATAGCTGCTTCATTTCTTATTTAGTCTCTCTCTCTCTCTCTTTAATCCATCAGGGCTTTGTATGCCTGGCCCAGTAGTGTATTGGCAAAGGTGTTGCATGCTAGCAGATTGGTGCTCTGCTGCATTTTGCACCAGTTGCAGCTTCCAGACCTCCCACACAGCATGCAATGCAACAATCCAGTCTTGAGGTTACTCCTAAGTATGAAACTTGTCTCTAGGGTAGAAGTTGGGAACCTGTGGCCCTCCAGCCCCAGACAGCATGGCCTGTGGTGAGAGACCTTAGTGATGTAGTTCTGCAGCATCTGGGTTTCCCCACTGTACTCATCCCTGCTCCACGGCTTGATTCAAGGATTTTTGAGAATTGGTTCCTTTCCCATTTCTACACTGTACACCTATTACACCAGAGTAGTCGATCGTGCCAGAAGTGGTCCAGCAACATCAGGAGGGCACTAGGTTGGATGAGGCTGCCTTAATGAACTGTGAGTTCTGAAGACCAAGTTGGTACTCATAAAGCTTTGAGCCTCCAGTTGTTGTTAGACCCTGACTCCCACCATTACTTACCATTGGCCGTGGTAGCAGGAGCTAGTGGAAGTTGGAGTCCAGCAACATCTGGAGAACCTAAAGCTTTGTAATGATGAGGGGACCAGCAGCTCTGTAGGAAAGAGCTCCCTCTGTACTCCTGAGGTCTTCCAAGCCAGGATTTTGATTGAGCCAAAGGAAGAAGATTTGAAGTTTGCTGTTGGCCTTCTCCCAGGATTGCCTAGAAATGAGCAGCTGGTGGGACAAGAGGACTCATTGCCTGATCTTAATCTAGCTGCCCACTGGGGTCGTAAGGAGAGGTCATTGCCTGAGGACATCTCTTTCCCCGATTTACGACGGAATGGAGCATCCATCTGCCTTTCCTCTTGCAATGAGACTCCTGCAGCTGCCAACTTAGGAGTGTGCTGGGGTTAAATAAGGCAAGGCACTAATGCTGAAAGGGGGCTGAGTTTGGAAGGATCACTCTGTATCGTTTGCAGTTCAGCTGCTGGAGCTCCCTACTAGCAGAAAGAATTAACAAGTGCAGTTAAGCCCCTGTAACTGCTGAGGCATGTGGATTTGCTCCATGCCAGGTTAGCAGCCATGGGTGAGCTTAAGAACCATGTCTCATTTAGCTGGGAGGGATAGCCTCTGCTACGAGAAGGGAGTTGTGAATCCATTGTGATGACAGATTGTGTGCAAAACATATGTTGCCGTGTGTCTGGGTCTGCTTCTTGTAGCTGTGCCAGTTTCTGATTCTCTAGCCCTGTCCTGGCTGTTTGGAAAACAGCTGGAGCAACTGCTTGTGTTTTCACGTGCCTCTGCTTTTCAGAAAGTAAACAGACTTGGGACTTGAAGGCTGGAGCGGACATTTAGCGTAGAAAGCCGTGCATGTGTGCGTGTGCACAAATGGAAGAGTGAGAGGAGAAGAAGAGATAGACGGGTAATCACTTGACGCAAATTATCTATACTTAAAAGAGAAGATTGATTTGGTAACGGCTGCCTAAGAGGTCTCAGAACACCGTTTCACTGCTCTGCGTCTCTGGCCTGCTCAACTTGTAATTAATGATGCTTATGTTAAACAGTCAAAAGCTGTGTGTTTGTGTATTAATATTTTAAAATGCATTTCCTCCTCGCCAGCCCAAAGTGTTTGCATGGTGTTTGATTAGTGTAAGCGGGTGCCTGGGCAGGATCTACAGAGCTGAGTCTGCAAATCAATGTTTTGTGGTTGCAGTGCTGCACCAGTTCGTTCTCTCTCTCTCTCTCTCTCTCTCTCTGTGTGTGTGTGTGTGGTGTGTGAGAGAGAGAGAGAGAGAGAGAGAGAGCGCATATTAATAGAACTACACCATCTGACTATTTCCCTTAATGCTTCCCAAACTTTTGATGCCTGGGGGGAATCTTTTGAGGTCAGATTCAGAGGCACATTTGCACTCAAAATGCTGCATGTCTTTAAGATCCTTTTAAAGCAAAATACTGTACAATAAGAAACATTTTCAGAACAATGGGGAAGCATCCTCCTTTCACTTGTGGGATATCCCAGCGATATACCAGGTACCGTATTTTTCGC